TCGCGGACTCTGTTCAAACATTACCGGCGTCCTCGAAGGAGTTCCCTACTCGCAAAGTGGATGATTCGGCCCATCGAACCGTGAATCTCCTTTCCCCGCCTTCGCTGCCCTCTCCCCCTCCCCCCCGTCGCCCCTCAACACCGCGTGAAATCTGTGCGGAAAAGGGAGGAAAGAGAGAGATTCTCTTGCGGTTCTTTTTTTTTTTTTTATTTTCTATCCGCGTGAAAAGAAGCCGCGCGATTTATAAGGATACCGACGGCGAGTTCGCAGCATAAACGTGAAGAGAGAGTTTACCCCAAGTTGTCCCCCCCCCTCCCCCTCCCTCGACTCATCCCTCGTTTTCCGCAATATGCTTCTAAAGCCGGCGGATATAATGGTTTACATGGAATGGAAAATAAGATATGGGTATATCGGTACTTCTCCATAGTTTACGAGAGAGATCCGGGCATTGTGGCCGCGGCGCCTCTCGTAGGCTTTTCCCGACTGGAAAAGAGAGAGAACACTGCGGCTGGCGACACGAGGCCGAGGCTAAACAGGCGAATTAAACAGAATTCTCGCTACAACGCGCGGCCTTGTCCCGCGTAATTAACGCGTCGCGTTAATAGAAGCCAACAACAATTCCGACGGCTACGCTAAAAACGCGGTCGCCATTCCGTCGATATTCGCGGTATTTTTGTGTACGACAAAAAAAAAGTAAATCGATGATAAAAGCCACTCCGTAAAATGTATACATTACTAGCTCGAAATTACATTAATAATCCGTGTCTGATGAACAACGGTTAACTAACAGCTTTTTGAAATACGTACATCAATTTCAACAACAACAATTACTCGAACTGTTGTTGCGAGTGCAACGGCAATTGTTTCGCTTAATACGATTGATATGTGATGATGATTACTGTAACTTAAACGCTTAATACATATAGAATTACAGTAGTATTTCAGTAGTAATTATATACAATTAAATCACAAACTGTCTTGTCCTTGAACAAATTACCGCAAAATAGTAAATTCTTTTTTTTGTTTTTTTTTTTTTTTTTTATACAAAATGGTACAGGAAAATTTTAATAATGAAATTAATATTCAAAATCGCTTTAGCGATTTCGTATAGACTATAATATTAACTCCATTGTTGAAAAATGCTTACGTTTAACTATTTTATATCGGCAGTTCTTCTGAAGCTTCAAAATGTACATTTTTTTCAAAATAAAAGTTAAACGTATTTAATAATAAAGCAAAGGAGGATAAAACAGATTTTTTGATCGTAATTTTTTTCTCATGTTCCCTCTTCTTTGTCCTTTTCTGCTATCTCGGAGTTCTAGCGAACTTTTTCGCGCTAAATACTTTATAAAGTAATTTGTTACTTCAAAGGAGAACATATATCTACTTGGTTATGATACAAAGTTTTCGCGATCGATACTTTTAGGTCCTTTTTCTTCGTCCTTTTTTGCGAATGTGTGAATTTCAAAATGGTTCACAAAATTTAAAAATATTGTATTGGATATACACTAGTGCGTTATAGCTTTTTGCATTTTCACACGTTTCAAGTATTTTGTAATAGTGAAATGTCACATCAAATCAGTAACTCTTAATAATCTAAATTTTTAAATCACCAAAAAATATTAAAATTTAGATAATAATCTGTTTCTAAAATATCGTGGTATGTTGTAATAATGATAGTATATTGCACTAATGAGAAAGATTGCAATATCACTGAAATATATCTTAGCAAAACTAAAATTAGTATTAGTAAAATAAAATTATATTACTGTTCTTTTAAATTGGATCACTGTAAATTTCAACGCGATCTATTTTGATATTGAATGGTCAAATTATGAAACAGTCGCGATCATAATTAGCGCCGTAATCACGCGATAATATGGCGCCGCGTAACAAGATTTGTTTTGTTTTCATTGCCGATAATTTGTAATGTTGCAATACAATTTCATTAGCGAGAAATAGAATTCCGATTGGTGGTAATAAATGGAATTACGCGATTCTGCTCAGCGAGAATTAAAACATAATATTTTAATCAACGAGTGTACCAAATTTTATGATTCGCTGAACCGATACAATGAATTAGGAAGTAATTGCAAGTTTCACTGGCCAAATGTGATGATTTAAATATATAATTATTAGATCTAAAAAAATAAAAAAAAAAAAGAAAATTTCGATGACGGAAATAAAACAGATGATAGAGAAAAAGTTGAAATATTATATTCTTTGAGGCCTTTATAGATTTTTTTCTTTTTGTGTTGTGGATCTCGTAAGTAATATTCATGAAATGCGTAGCATTAACAATACCGCATAACAAACAGTAGTATGCAAATCACAATAGAGTAGGAATATTATTTATTTTTAATCAATCTTTTGAATCAATAAATGTGTTTCGATATACGCTGTCAATACTGAAAATCTGTATGTGATTCATAAACCATATATATAAAAACTCTATATTTTCAGGACTGGCAATAATATCGGAAAGCGTTCGAAGCTTGTGCGAAGGAATTTCAATTTTTCTTTTTGGAAGCAAGTAAGCTAGTAATAATATAACTAAATCTCGTACATATTGTGTAGAAAAAAAAATATCGTAAATACTTTTTCTCTATAATAAATTTTCGACAAAAAATTAGAACCTGGGAGCATCGAGCATTTTAATTAAATGCATTGTTTAAATAATCATTGTTCAAACCTTCTCAGTCTTTTAATTAATTAATGTTAACACAAACTTGCTTTTAACTTATGATGAATAAGA